GTATATGGGAGTGACACATTATTTTATCCATAGAAACATAGATAAATGTTATGTTAAATGTTATTCTCCCGTGGTCATGTGATCTCGCAAACCAGCGGCGCGCCGGATCAGATACGGACCACAAACGCGTCCAGTGTGAATTGGCGGACGACCTCGGACAGAATGCGAATGCAGCGCAGTCGCACCGCAGCGGATACAAATCCAGTGTAAATCAGGGGTGTCGGACTGCCGGACGCGTGACGGAACAGAGACGTAGCGGAGACGCAACGCAGCGGATCTGGTGTAAACTGATGCATTGACTTTATTGGCGGCGATTGCCTGCGGCTGCCATGTCGGAAACGCACCGCAACGGATACGCATCCAGTGTAAATCAGGGGTTAGTGCGAATTAGAGCGGAGGAGCGGGCGGAGCCAACAGCCTCTTGAGCGAGGAGCGGAAATTCTCACCACTCCGCTCCGCTCACATGCTCTGGTCCAGGCATGAGGTAATAAAAGCATGGGTGAACACCTCAAAATCACTAAAAGAGTACATGCGCTTGACCTTGCTTAAAACTCTGAGATGGTAAAAAGATTTAATGACTGCATTTACAGTGTCTACAGGTATCTCAGCTCACAAACTTAACTTTGTTCGAGGACTCAGTTCGCAACCTGAAAAGTTCGTGACCTGAATAATTTTTCCCCATTAAAAAATAATGTAAACACAAATAATTCATTCAGTAACACTGAATTTTTTTCTTTTTTTCATGTTTTTCTGTGACCAAGAATATAGACTTGAATTAAAATAACCTTAAAGAGCAAAAAAGGGAAAGAGAACATATGTTTATGGAAGGCGGATCAATACACAACTGAGTATATGCTTGTTGGCAGCCTGGTTGTTCGAAAGACGCCAAAACACGGAAATAGGGTGACCACCTAATCCATGTCAGGAGGGACAGTATGAGCTACAACAGGATTTGTAAACATTTCAATTAAAAGGACCAGGATTTCACGTAAGCACTGGGTTCTTGCCGTATGCTGATTGGTCAGTCTCCTATAATCATGCATATGTATCAGTAATGTTAATGCGAAACAGCTGGATGAGTCTTTCAATCTAGGAACTAACCAAACATTTTGCAGAGCACAGAACCCTTTCAGCTTTAAAGTAGTTTGTTAAAGCTGAAGTAGCTCATAGTGTCCCTCCTGACATGGATTAGGTGGTCACCCTACACGGAAAAGAACCACAAAGCATTAAAAGACTGAGTAACAGTCAAAAACAACACAGTAATTTCGAAAATGTGATTTTTTTTATTATACTGTACATTATTTTCATATGCCTAAAATTTTTATGTACATTTCGTGATGCCACGCGTTGTATGGCGATGAACTTCTTTGTTTGTACTGTAAACAAACAATACGCAGTTGCCACTATGTCTGAATGGAGAATATAACACTTAAATAGGAGTTACTTAATAATTCATGTTATTAATAGAGTACTGTAATTTTATGTATAGATATGTGACTGTTAAAAAACACAACATTCTCTCTCTATTTTTTTTCGTTTTTCAGATATTCAACCTCTGAAGTGATATAGTAAAGACATATTTTTACAACAAGTTTTTTATACATTCCACAACCGTTCTTGGGCATAATGTACACTTCTTCAGTTCTTTGTGGCGCTTTCAATAGACCCTTTTTGGGGATATTTGTGTGTTCGCAGCCTGAAACATGGTACAAAAAATTTTCAAATATCTGGTTCGCCACCCAATTTGTTCATGAACAGGATTGTTCATGGGTCGAGGTAGCCTACTGTATTTGTTTGTCAAATTTAAAATCCAAATCAAATGAAAAACCAAGATTCTTAGTGTGCAGTCTAATGGAGTCTGCTAGTGGTCCCAAATCATAAGCTACATGACTGACAGCAACCAGGGATCCAATTATTAATATCTTCGTCTTGCTCTCATTCAGGTTTAGGAAATTTGTCACCATCCACTGCTTCATGTCCTTTAGGCAGTCAAACAGGCGTTGCAGCGCATTGGGGTAAATGAGTTTCAAAGGGAGGTAGAGCTGCGTTCGTCAGCGTAGCAGTGATAGCACACTCAGTGCTTTGATATTATGCAACACAGCTAAACACCTGTGGTACACCATACGGGGGGGTGGCAGTGTCGGATGGGGCTCCGTTAAAAGATACTGAAAAGGTTTGCAATGCAGATCCCAAGATGCCCACCCAATGCTCCAGGCACTCTAAAAGAACGTGTTGATCTGTCTGGGGGACTGATTAAAGTGCTTAATGTGTTAAATAAAACCTTTGGTTGATGGTTGTGTTTTGATATCAAGTCAGAGAAATATTTTGCTCTTGCTGATTTTATGGCTTCCTGGAAGATGCTTAAGGATTTTAATTTGATGACACCTGCAGCCTGTCCTTCTTTCACTTTCTTTCTTTTACCGTCATACCCTAAATAATCAAATCATCTTGGGGCCAATGATTTAAATAACTACTAAATAAAAATAATGTTCATTAAAATATGTAGTTCATGTAACTAAAAATGAAAAATTAATTGCATGAAAATTTTAAGATGTACCACATGAAAGCATGAGAATGTATGCTTCCTATCTATATGTACTAGTATATTTATTGGTTGAGACAGCCTTGAAATTCAACACAGCCTAATTTTATAAAAGCAGTCATAGCATATGGTGTATCTCTGCATGTTGCCCTTTATATATTTCACATTTCATTGCTCTGCTCTGTTTAGGGTGACGGTCACACCAGATGGTAATCTCTGGATCACTAACATCAGTCGGGCAGATGAGGGAAAATACACCTGCTTTGCAGAGAATTACCTTGGCAAGGCCAATAGCACAGGTCACCTCTCAGTTCGAGGTATGCTCTCTCCCCAGCTTCCTCTTTTGCTAACCTGTAATATTTTGCTACATTTGTGGGAAAGGACATCTTAAAAATACTATTTGAATTATACTGGGTACTATTCAATATTGAATTATATTGAATGCCATTTACTTATGTAATCTTTATTAACAATTTTCATTTCTAGACTGTCTCTAATATTTATATTTCTCTGTCTGTATCCCCTAATTGCCTCTAATTCTTTCCATCTAATTCTCTCCTCTCCAGATGCAACCAAAATTACTCTAGCTCCCTCCAATGCAGATATCAACCAAGGAGACAATGTCACCTTACAGTGTCATGCATCTCATGACCCCACTATGGACCTAACTTTCACCTGGTCACTAAATGGAGTCCTGTTGGACCTAGAAGAACCCCACGGACACTTTCGTCGTACAGAGACTGTGAGTTATAATCACAACATCTATTGAGACATAACCCTATTTCAAAGTGACATATGTACAGATTTATTTAAACTCATGAGTATGGAATTTATTTCATAGGAAACACTTAGAGTATTATAATTGAAACCCCATGTTTGGTTTAATTTATATATTTTAAAGAACTATTCCAATTTCCCTTAGTGTGTCATATTCGTAAGATCAAGTAATTGTAGTAAATTTTAAGTTGACCTACATAATGTATATGACTCAGATTTGCTTAGAGTTCCACTTAATAGCAATGGATAAATAAGTACTCTTCCTTTGGCTTCCTACAAAATATGATCTGGCGTGCATTTCCCGATAACGATTAATCTTATTGAATGACGAACAAGATAACGGATGACATAGGTAAAGAACGAGTCAGATTTTTCAGTGTTTCCCAAAAGCCTTCATTATTACAGATTTAATGAACGATTTTAAAGTAGTTCTTTGTTGGCTCCTCCCCAGCCTCCATGTGAGAAAAGCACAGAGTTTTGATAACAGGAACATTCATCGTACAGTCCCCTACAAAGGTATTGGAACAGCAAGGCCAATTAATTTATTTTTGCTGTGCATTGAAGAAGTTTTTGTGTGAGATCAAAAGATGAATATGAGAAGAGAGATCAGAGTTTCAGCTTCTATTCCCTGGTATTTACATCTAGAAATGTTAAACACCATAGAACAGCAGATGGTAATCTCTGGATCACTAACATCAGTCGGAGAGATGAGGGAAAATACACCCGCTTTGCAGAGAATAACCTTTGGAGGGCCAATAGTACAGGTCACCTCTCAGTTCGAGGTATGCTCTTTCCCCAGTTTTTGTATCTAACCACCCAGTTTTTCAAGTGAGTAAAAGTACTGGAACATGACAAGCAACAGGTGTTCCTTGTTACCCAGGTGTGTCATATAAGATTGCTTGTTTAATCATTAAGTAGTCCTGCATACCTACTCTCAGTTTAAGCTTTGGCTTTGACCTCTGAAGACTGCATTTTTTTTAAGAAGGGTAGACCAACATGAAGACCGAAGAGCTGTCTATGGGAGAAAAGCATGTCATTCTGAAGCTGAGAAAAAGGGGAAAATCCGTCAGAGGTATTTAAAAACACTGGGCATAGTCAGTACCACAATTTGGAATGTCCTGAAAAATAAGGAAACCACAGGTGTACTGAGCAACAGGCATCGAGCTGGTCATCCAAGGAAAACAATAACAACTGATGACAGACAAATGGTGAGAGCAGTAAAGAAAAACTCCAAAACAACAGTCCATAACAACACCCAAAAAGCAGGGGTGGAAATATTACAGTCCACTGTTTGAAGGAGACTTTAAAAAGAGCAAAATAGAGGCCATATTGCAAGATTAGAATTTGCGAAATACTACAGGTATGAGCCACAACAGTTCTGGAACAGAAGTTTTAAGGACTGATGAGACAAAGATTAATCTCTACCAAAGTGTTGGAAAGGCCAAAGTATGGAGAAAGAAGATTCTAAACATACAAACTCATCTGTGAAACATGGTGAAGGTTGTGTCATGGCTTGGGAGGTTGTGTCATGGCATGGCTGCTTCCGGAACAGGCTCAGTCATTTTTTTTGATGATGTAACTCAGGATGGTAGTACCAGAATGAATGCAGCAGTCTACACTGTCTGCCAATTTATGGAGAAAAACACAAAATAATTGGGAGGAATTTTATTATTAAGCAAGACAATGATTCAAAACACACTATAAAGGACTCAACAAAGGACATCATCAGGGGAAAAAATGGAAGGTTTTGGACTGACTAAGTCAATCACCAGATCTTAACCCAATTGAACATAACATTTCACCTCTCGAAGAGGCCTGTGGCAGTTGGAAGCTTTCAGCGTATATTCTGCAACACTTAACAGCATGACTTAAATGGTAAGTGATAATTTACTGGTGTCTTTCTCCTCTTCCTTTTACTGGTGTCTTTCTCCTCTTCCCTTTACTGGCGTCTTTTTCCTCTTGTGCAAGTGGCTATCAGCTCTATTAGAGCTCTGTTAGCCATACTTAAACTTTAGATATAATTTGAACTACAGACGCTCCTCTACTTATGAAACTTTCAACTTACAAACTTTCAGACATACGAACGAAGAGGACTGTAAATCCAAATTGTGTTCATTGGGCTTGCTTTTCCTGTCCGCAACATCAATTTTTTTTCTGCGCGCCAATTCCGGGTAGTACGTCTTCTGGCAGCTACTCCCGCTGCATAGCAGCGTAGCATGCATACTCGCAGCATCCTAGTTCTTTGTACTTGTATATAACCTTAAAATGATGCTGAATAACAACTTAGGAATATTTTAAGTAACGAACGGCAATTTGGAACATATCTCATTCATAAGTAGAGGAGCATCTGTACAGACATGTGCCTGAAACCTATTGCGGTCCTCAAATCTCCTAGACCCAGAGGATCCCATCCACAATCCTGAGGCCGTACCATCAGTAACCTTATCTACCCTCTCTTCTTGTCTGGAGCTGTCAGTCTGCTATAAAGAAGGCTAATTTAATCTCCACCCTTGCTTCCCATCACTCTCCCAACTTTCTGGCTCTGAGACCTGGATATCCCCACAGAACTCAGCTACACCAGCTGTTCTTTCCTCTGGTTATGGCTTTTCTCATACTCCATGAGAAACTGGAAGAGGTGGTGGTACAGGTCTGCTGCCATCTGAACATCTCATCCTTTGAATTCCATGCAGTTGCAATTTCTTCACCGATCAACCATCTCATCATTGTGATCTACCACCCTACCACCCTCCTGCTCCCCAAGGTCAATTTCTTGAAGAAATGGATATACTCCTCAGTCTCTTCCCTACTGACAACACCCCTCTCGCTCTCCTTGAAGACTTCAACCTCACTCTCAATAAGCTACATTCCTCCTGCCTTCTCCCTCTTCTCTGTTCCTTCTCTTGGATATACAACAGTTGCTCTCCCATGCACAAAGAAGGAAACACCCCAGTCTTCAGCTGTCCGTTTTCAGCTATTGACATTATTGCCACCCCACTTCACATCTCTCATCATCACTTTGTATCTTTTACCATCACCCTACCTCTCTTGCCTAAACCCAGCTATCAATATTTCTCCTCCAATCAACAGAACCTCCACTCTTTCTCCCTCTCATCTCTTTCTTCCTGCACTCTTCAACCAACACTCTTTTCTCCTCACTTTCTTCATCCATGGATCACCTCTGTCCACTATCTTCTAAGCTCTGCTCCTTGGCTATCGGATAGGTTGCATATCAATTGAAGAGAATTAAGAGTAGTTGAGAGAAAGTGGAAGAAGTCGGTCTACTTACTGCACTTACCTGTCCAAATTCTCATCTGATTTGACTGCTGCTAAGAGTGCCTTCTGCAAGAAAAAAAAATGAAAATCTCTGCACATGATCCTCGCAAACTCCATAACATCTTTACGTTATTACTTAATCCACTAACTCCTCCTGCTCCTTCCTCCCTGTATAATGAATACTTTGCCAACTTCTTTAATGAGAAGATTGATCAATTCTAACAGACATTCTCTCCCACATCTAGCAACAGAAGAGATTCTGGAAGTATTCTTGTTATGCAATCCTTCCACCTGCCCACTGGATCCAATCCCTTCCACAGTGCTTCAGAAAATCTCTCAAGATCTTCTCCCCTTCATCACCACTATCATTAATAGCTCCATAACATCTAGTCATGTACCAACAACATTGAAAAAAGCCAAGGTTATTCCCATCCCGAAGAAACACACTCTGAATCCCTCAGACATCAGCAACTACTCTCCTTTCTTTCAAAAATCCTTGACCACACAGTTTACAATCAACTGTCTCTCTATCTCTCTCAGAACAACCTTCATGAGCCTAATGAATCTCACTTCAAAGTAGCACATTCCACAGAGACTGCCCTCTTGACTGTCACTGAGAAGCTACATGCTGCCAGAGTGGCCAAACTGTCATCTGTCCTCATTCTCCTTGACCTTTCAGCAGCATTTGACCGAGTCAAACACAAGACACTTTTGTCCTTATGAGTTTTGGAATTTGTGGCTTTGTATGGCAATGGTTTTCTTCCTACATAGAAGGCCAATCATATTAAGTGGCATCGAACGGATTCACATCTACACCACACAGACTCTCCACTGGCATCCCTCAGGGCTCAGTTTTTGGTCCTCTTCTGTTTTTCCTCTATACTATATCTCTTGGTGAGGTCATATCCTCACATGGGTTCTCATATCACTGCATATTTTTGGTGAATAGTGACCTGAACCAATCATTTTGCAATTTACCCTCTGGGGTCTAGGGGTAGGAAACACACTTTCACTGACTGGGGCATGGTCACACATTTCATTCAATATCATAAAGTTAATTCATGGCAAATAAATTATTTCTAATATATTTGTTTTGGCAACAAACTCATCTTTATCTTAGTGTACTTTGTACAGCTTTATGTGAAGTTTGTAATTTGACATCAAAGTATAGACATTGCAAAATGCAGTTTGGAACACTTGCAGAAACATTATAAAAGTAAATAGTAAGCAATGGTGGAAGTTTGTTTTGATCCCAGATATCTGATCACAAAAGTCTTGGCTACATGAAGATGACTAAATGGTGTAGTTGCAACATTCAATTGGATAAATAAATAAGAAAAACCTAACTCGTCACTATTTCTGGCTCCTTTCATTGAATATGTAGCAACTTTCATGTGTATGGATGAGCCATTGACACCTGACCACACCCCCCCCCCCCCCCCTTTATGGCGCTGATGGGGATGTATCTGGATCACGTTTCACCGCTGCGTTGTTCATCAAATTACCATGCGAATGACATTTGAATATGTGGCAATGCAGCTATTTAGAATGTGAATAGCGATCTTCGGGTGAGAGTGGTACTACACGCCCCCGATGCAGATAAAACAAAGTAAGGTGACATGGTTTACTTTTTTGCTGATTTAACTTAATTTTAAAAACTTTAATACTTCCGACAATTAACGTTTTGAAAAGAAGACAGATTACAGATTTAGTCAACGTTTTTATCATGTTTCTATAATAAAATTTCAGCGAGTTATGAACTACATTTACATCTACATTTTTGAGGTAACTCATTGCCCTAAAAAAATAAGTTAAGCATTGTTGAATGAACAAATAAATTCAAGTTGAGTGTACTTAAGGTTCTAGGTTAACAATGCACTATAAGATTCAGTTTTTGCTTGTTAGAATAACTTAAATTTATCATGTTACATATAGTAAACTCAGGTTCAATGAACTTAAAAACTTTGAGGTAGCCCTAAAAAAGTACTGTTGAATGAACTAATATATTTAAATTGAGTGTACTTACTAAAGGATATTACATTTCCCTACATTATGAAATTTAGTTTTAATAAATATTTAATAAATAGAAATATAAAAAGAAACAGAATGTTGTCTTTTTGTTTTTATTCATTCAGTACACAACAATAAAAGAATAAGTTTCTTGAACAAGTAGGCCAGAAAAACAATAGCCAGAAAAAAAACACAGCTATGTAACTGAGAACTATGTCCTATTTTGA